CCATCAGGACCCCTGAGCTTTGGAACAACCTGCCCGAGGAGATGAAGCTGCAGAATCAGTGTCTTCTTCCTAAAACCCTTTTATATAGACTTGCTTTTGTCTCTTTGACTCTCTCTGACTCTGTTCTATGGCACTTTAGTTATTTTATACGGCTCGGTTGGTGTTTGTCTATTCATTTATTTAAACTGATTTTTTTTTTCTTTTCTTTTTTTAATCTTTTATCTTTCACTTGTTGCGTCTCTGGTCTTTCCTCTTTCTATCTGGCCTTATTGACATTCAGTTGTAATAATATCTTCTTGGTTTTCGTGATTGTTTTAAAAAAAAAAAGTAAGGGTTCAGATAGTTTCATCATTTTATTTTTATTTGTTGCAAACATTTAAAATAATACCATGTATAATTGGGGGTGAAAAACAATGATAGTGAACTTCAGAGACTTTTTTTTTTTTTTTTTAAATTAAGTGGAAAATACCAACATTTTTGCCACTTCTGGTCATGACTGTGATTCATGACATTTCATACAGGCTCAGAAGTTGATGAAGTGCCTCACACATAATCCTCTAAACGATGTGTGTTATTGTTGGCATTGTGTTTGCTGTGAGACGAAGAGAAAAAAACAAAAAAAACGCCACCAGCCAAGATGATTCATCAGAGCAGAATACGGAAGTGAAAAGGGCACCTCCAGAGTCTGTCTTTTGTTTTTTCGTTCTCACAATGAATCATCCATTAAACTTCTCAGAAAGTCTTGGAGATGTTCTCTGGAAGTTTTTTTTCTTCTCCTGCTCACAGCTGTTGGATAAATGAAGGAGCTTTTGTCGGTTGTTCGCGCTGCAGCGACGTTTCATCCGCGGTTATATAATCCAGTTTCAGTTTGAGGAATGCCGCTCCCGACTTGTTGCCATGTAGGTCTCCGTACATGCGTATTGGTGTTTGCAGTGTAAAGAGTTGCAGAGTCATGTTGGTGCAGAAATTCCTGCCCGCCGCCGCCGCCGCTGCTCTCTTTGGACTCCGGCCGCTGGAGACGCAGCGCAGCGACGCGCAGTTGTGCCTTTGACGCAGGAGGAGGACGACGGATCCGCCGGTTCCAGTCCCCCCTCCAGGAGCAGGACGCAGAGAAAGCTTCCACCGGAGAAACACCCTCCCGTGGCTGGACGGCTACTATACTCTCCCCCCTGCTGCTGCTGCGGTTTCTGGTGTGATTTCGCAGCTGTCGTTCAGGTTGGAGGTGAGTGAATCCGCAGCTGTTAGAAAAACGTTTCAGCCTGAAGAAATCACAGCGATACGAGACGCTTCTGGTGAGTTTGTGATCTGAACGCAGAACTCGTGACTTTACTTATTCATGTACAAAACCTCTCCACGCTCGGTGTTGACCACTGGTTGATTTCCTCAGTGGCGCGCAGACGCCTTAAAGGGAATTGAAACTTTTGCGCACTGTGCAGGTCTGTAAGTCATATAAAGGAGGCTGAGCGCCAAATGGAGCAAATGTGGTGGGTTTTTGTGATTTGTTTTTTGCTCCTCTTCACACAGAAACATCCTCATGAATGAAGAATCTTCTGAAAAGCTCAAATCAATTAACAGACTGTTCACATTATACGATTTTTAAACAAAAAAGCCAAACATTCCTCAGGTCCAACTGCTCCTGTCTGAGTATTTTGCTTAATTTTGGAGTTTTTCTGTGTTGGTGGCAAAAAATATAAACGTCTGAAGGCGACTCTTTGTTGTCTGGAATTATACATTTGAGCAATTTTCTTGATTATTGATCAATAATAAACCAGAAAATGAATTTAAAATACTTAACCAATGCCCAAAGGGACACACTATGACAACTATTAGTCCCAAATCAATTTAATATCATATAAAATTTAAATATATATATACATTTCTCACATTTAACAATCTGCAACCATCAAAGCTTTGCTATTTTGGTTTAAAAAGGTTAGTTTTCCAACTAGTTGCACCTTAATTTCACACCAATCCACTAAAAAAAGATCAATAACTGCTTTTAATTTAGAGAATTCCTGCTGAAAAATATGTTTAGAATTAAACATTCAGCATTAAAAAAAAGGATATAAGTCAAGATTGTTAGTTCAGCAGAAAATCTGTCTGCATCAGTTCTTTATTTTTAAAAGAAGATTCCAGAGTTTCACTGTTTTAATCATTTTTCCGTGATAGTATATTTAATATTTTTTTAAATTTTGGATTCTTAGTTAAACCATAATGTCATTTTAAATACGTCCATTTGGAATTTGGGAATTTTTATGGACAGTTTTTTTACAACTTTCGGACACGTGATTGATGAAACAGCAAATAATCAGTTATAAAAAATATCATTAGTAAAAAAAAATGAGTAAATTACCAAATGACACAGCAAGCACCAAAAAGTCAAGAATAATCCTTCATTTTCTGTTGTTCTGTTGCATTTATCAGCACGTCATCAGTTTATTGTGAAACCAAACGCTTCTGTGCACACACACTTCTTTTTTTTTTTTCCCAGATAAGGAGGTTTTAATTTCTATTTAATTAGCTCACTGTGTGTTTAGTTGTTCTGATACGCTGAGTGTGTGGTCAGGAGGACCTCTTATGTAACTCTAGTGTTCTTGGATGTAAGCGGGGCGACACCGTGGACCTGTCTGAGCCTCGGCCATCGTTTCTAATACACGACTCCAGGTGTGATGTGGCACTTTTTTTTTTTTTAAGTCACCTGCAACCTTTGACCTGAGAGACGCGTGAAAGATGACAACGCAGGAGATCTTATGCCACTGCCGTTGCAAAACATTTCAAAACACGTGTTGTCATTACAGCTCAGCACTTTCGGACAACATGTTTAGTAAGGTTCAGACTCTTTGCTAAAGTGCAGTCGTACGTGCGGCTCGACGCTTCCTGCACAGGACGGAGTCAGCAGATTAATGTGCTGTCCTGTGTAAGTAACCGTCTGTAAATGGTTAACTCTTCTTCTTCTCTCTTTTTTCTGTTGTTGTAAGTTCTGCACCGAGCCGGGCCTCTGATTTATGAAAAGCAAACAGCTCTGGTGCCAAAGTCAATGAGTTACCATAATCCTCTCTTTGTTTTTCATGTCAAAAGTACAATTTTCACGTGACCGATACCACAGAGAAATCACTCTTTAACTGAATCGTGGGGTTGTTTTTTTGTCAGTAATCTGCCTTCTTCTTAATTTCAAGCAGCAGTTTGGGAACTAAATGTGACCAAGCTGTGCCGCCGCCGTCGCTTGTGGTCCAGTTTTTTGGTCAGACGGGCTTTAAAAAGTCAACCGAGCGGTGAGACCAAATATCAGTTTGTGTTCTCACAGCGTTACTGCAGACTTGAGCAACGCTTTATAGTAACCGAGCTGTTGCTGTAATTCACTGTTTAACCTCCTTAAAGCCTGATGAGGAGAGCAGCTGATACATCCAAACACAAAGGGCCTTTATGGAAAAGCTAGATTTACTGCATTATTGTCTCTTGCTTCCATTCTCCTTCCTCGAACTCCCTCGTATCTCTTTTCGTCTGAATGGACTCATTTTACTCTCCCACTTTGTTTTTCTCTCCCTCTCTTACTCACTTTGTGCCTCCCTCTTCATAATCTCTCTCTCGGCCCTCCCTCCCTCTCTGTCTGACACTTTTGGTCATATGACTGGCAAACAAGCTGACTGACTGCAGGGTCAGATGTGAGGCTGAGTGGATTTCATTGTGCAACTCCTTCACTCCCAACCGCCTTTTCTTTTTTTTTCTTCACTTCACTGAGTGCAATACTCACAAAACACGGGTGAAAACACTGCTTTTATTCCTTCTGTAAATCATTACCGATGCACGGTTTCGTCACTCAGGATCACAGTTTGTCCTGCTAGGAATCGATCCCATGCTTACGTGTTTATTGATTCCCTGCACAGATAAATGCGCTGTAGCTAACAGGCAGGATAACAGAAGCCTTTCCTCGCTCTGCGGCTCAGGAGCTGATTCGTTCTGCTCGGAGCTGCAGCGGCGGGTGACGCTGAGGAATGCAGGGATTTCATGTTTGTTGGTCAAGCAGTTGGTGCAGGTTTGTATCAACAGGCTCGCTGCAACAGTCCAGCGTGTTTTCACCCTTATTTCCCCGCTTTTGTCGGTAATTCTGCAGCGTTGCAGCTTTGAATTGATTGCAAATGCTTTTTCAACTCAAATAAAATGTAAATAAGAAGCAGGTATACAGGTTTTTGATCAGGATCAGGCGAAACAAAAACAAAACAAACACTTCAGGGTAACGCAGCCAAACACATACATTTATAAAGTACATAAGAAACCAGAGGACTTTTATTTTGAAAGTAACGCTTTACCCTTAGATGCAACAATGCATTCAACAGCGACCGGTGTTTTATACCTTAGAATTGGGGCTTTTTTTTTCGACTCTAAAACTGGGAACGATGAGCTCACGCATCCGCTGAATCTGTTGCGACAAACATAATCATCTCCACCACATGCACAAACTGTGTTGTGATCTCAGTCTGCAGCAGCACAGCGGCTCGTCCTCTCGTCTGGTGCAAACACTTCGTAATCATGGAGGAGCCACGAAGGGAAAACACAGGAGGAGGTCCAATATCAAGCCCCAAAACCAAGCAAGCTGTGAACCACGATGTGATGCTTTACAGTGTCGTTGTTGGTTAAAGTTTTAATCAGCTGTGACCAAAGTGTATCAGATTCTTCTTCTTGTTCAGGTTCAGTTTCTGAGTCATTGATGACGCCGTAAAAGTCCAGGTCGTCATAAGTTAAATAACACTAATGACAAACTAATTTATCATAGACGTGAATCACCTGCACATTTAATGAGTCCACTTCTCCAAACAGGAGACGCACAAAAGAGGACAGAAGCAGAAATCCAGCCAACATGACTCAGCAGCAATAATGTTAAATAAGAACAGTTGATTTATGGGAGAATAAATATTTGAAAGCTGCACAGAGAGCCTGCCAGCCTTATTGCTTTATGCTCTGTGTTTTAACTTTGCCGCCTAGTGCCCGAATTTAGCGTTTTCCTTTACATGAAGACATCTGCAGCAGAAATCGGTGCATAAAAATTCACCAGAATGCAGAAAATGACGCGTCCGATGCTCAGAATTTGGTCCCAGCAGCTTGACGTTGGGGTAAGTAGGGACGTGGAAGTGAGTGCGATTCAGAAATACAGCAGAGGAGTTGGCCAGCGACAGCTCCTGGTGTCTGTTAGGAATCCATTCATGCCCTGTGTTGCTTTAAATGGTGTGAATGTGAGTTCTGTGTTTCTTTATCGGCCGGCTGAAGTCTGCAGAGTCTCAGCGACTCGTCTGTGACTCGCTCACTGCTCACAGTTTACTGTTTGAGGAGCCTTTTAAAAAGAGAAGTGAGGAAAGAGAGTGTCAGCCGGACCAAGTATCACATCTATCAAGGGGAGAAACGCTGCGATGATTTGTTGTATGAGTAAACGTCTTACAGACTATTCTGGTCTCTTTTTTTTTTTTAGATAAAATACTGAATACTTTCATGTTTAGCTATTGTGAGGTGATAAAATGCATTTTTTTGTGGCATATGACGGCTAACTGAATGTAAAAAGTAAAAAAATTTCACCGTTTCTCAACATTTAGACTAAATAATCACTCAATTAATTAATAAAACAACCGACAGATGAATTATTAATGAAGAAACTTGTTATTGCAGCTGAGTTTTTGGCATATTTAAAACATTTCTTGCATCAGAAATGTCTTTAAAAAAGCCAAATATTTTCTGGTTGCAGATTCTCATGTGTGATAAGTTGTGACTTTTCCTGGTGACATAATTCAATTCAATTCAATTTTATTTGTATAGCGCATATTTACAACAACAAGTCATCTCATAGCGCTTCACAAAGGAAGAGGCAGAAACACCCAACAATCCAAAACATTTGGATTCCCTATAAGCTTCAGCAGTCTGCAACAGTGGGAAAGAACCGAAAACCCCATAATGAATAAAGTCAATTTCTTTCAACATTTCGTTACAATCAGACGAACTGATAACTTGATGAATTACAAAAACAATCAGCAGTTAAATTGAGACAAGAAAATAAATAGTTGTTTGCAGTCGAGTTTTTGACACATGAGGGGGAAAAAAATCCTGAATCCACACTGTGTGAAAATCAGAAAAAAATGCCAAATATGTTCTGGTTTCAGCTTCTCAGATGTGATGCGTTGCTGTTTTTCTTTGTGACGTAATGCATGAAGTCCATTTTTCATTTAACTTTTCATTATGGTCAGATGGAATGATCACTTGATTAATTCAGAAAACAGTCGGTATATAAATTTATTCTAAAACAAATGTTTACTTTCAGCCGAGTTCGGCATGTTTGAAAAATATCGTTAATCCCCACCATGTAGAAATGACTGTTTCTGACATTTTTGGAAAAATAAAAGTCAAATATTTTCTGTTTTTTTTTTTTTTTTTTAGCAAATATTTTATTGACTCTCTTGGTGACATCATGCATAAAGTCTTTTTCCCATTTTTTTTCTTTTACATATAGACTAAATGATCTTTTGATTAATTAAGAAACAATTAGAAAATACATTATAACTCAAAAATATTTCAGCCTCGTTTTTGGAGCAATATTAGTGTAAAAATGTCATTAATCAATGCAATTAAACCATCAACCTCAGAAATAAGAACCATTTTGCCAGGATTGGGTTCATACAGATAAACTACTGATTTGATTTCAGGATCAATACCAACAGAAGTAAATAAACAGTCCATCAGAACGTAAATGGAATAAAAGCGGAAGACTCTTTATCATAAATGATCCGTTTACAGACTGGATATGATGACCTTCCGCTTGAGGAGGGTTTCTGAGGAAAATCACTCCCCCACATGAGCAAACATTACAAATACAACGACAGTTTCCTTCAGTGGAGCCTGAAGCTGCTCAGAGGAATCCGTCTTTTCTGTTTCAGCTGCAGGGAAGTGAAACCTGAAGTGTGTGACACCCACATTTACATACACATCTACATGCACGAGGGATTTTGATTCGATTAGCTTCTTTTGAAATCACTAAACATCTCTCAGCTTGCTTGACTTTCTCTGTGTTTTTTCTCTCTCCTTTACAGGATAAGCTCCGCTCCAGACCCGGTTTAAAGAAATCTCTGCTGCGACACTACTGATTGCATTCGCCGACCACTTCCTCTTCTGCTGTGGACCTCCACATGGCAGAGGACTGCAAGAAACATCACAATGGATTACTTTCAAAACCCTGAAACTTGTAAATTGTGGACGAACGGTCATTTAAAGAATCGTGGTTTGACCGGCTCTGTGGAAACTGTCTGATCCTGACGTAGACGCCGTCAGTCATGTCGGAGCCTGGACGTATGAATGACGGAGCATCGAGTGGTTCACCATCAGTCTGCAAGTTGGTTTCGCCACCACGTTCGAGCAGAGAAACACAAGGCAGGAACTCATTCTTTGCAGCAACTGGCCTGCTCTGCCTGATCACCAATGGATAATCCTCGTGTGCCTCATTCTTTTGGAAGTATCTACTAACTGAATAGATTTTCTTGTTAGATTTTAGGCAAAAATGGAGAAACTGAAGACATCTGCTGGCTGGAGCCTTGACATTTATGAGTTAAAGACCAAAGGAATTTCCTCTGTTAACAGTCTGACCCCAATGGGATAAGAACTAAAAAAAGAAAACCTTGAACTGTACGAGACTATACGACTGAGCAGGGACCGATCCCTAATTACTGAAAAACCAAATCTGGAGTTACTACGACACTTTCTCCACAATGCATTGTTCAATGAAGAAGAAACGTCCAACGCGCGATTCGGATTTCTCGGCTATCGTGGTTCCCTCGATGCACGGGTCCGGATGTCTGGACTACACTGTGGAGACTCACGCTTCCAGATCCCTGAAGGTCATGGACGAGTTCAGGCGGCATGAGATGCTGTGCGACCTTGTGCTGCACGTCACCTACAAGGACCGGACAGTGGACTTCAAGGTGATTCAGAATAATCAGAATAAATTCATATTTAAGTACCCTTAACCCAAGACAGGACTTTGGGGGTCTTTTGGACCCCAGGCCATTTGGTTTAGGTGACAGGTATTGTTTTTTTATTTTTGAAGATTTATTTTAAATATAAAAAGAGGAACATTTGTCCTGCATTTGGAACCAAAAATACTTGTCAGAAAATGTGTTAAACATCGTATAAAAGGACCTGTCCAGGTGAACCTGCCTTTGCCCTGAGTCAGCTGGGATAGACTCCAGCCTCCCTGTGACCCTAGTGAGGATTAAGTGGTGTATAGATGATGGATGGATGGATGGATGGATGGATGGATAGTATAAAAGTCTATAATGAATACCAACAAATATTTTGCACATATTCTTTCTTGGGGTCCAATGAACCCCGAAAGACCTTCTACGTATGCAGGGTTAACGTAACCCGAGGACAGTTTTTGGACAAAACAAACTACTATAACAATAATAAAGCTAAATACACACATAAACTAAAGCTGAACAGTTGAACAGGATGATATCACGCTACAGTACAAACAAGAATTAACAACAGCTGTGTCTCTGGTGATCGTTTGGGGCTTGTTTCGATATTTCGTTACATATTCCAGGTTTTGTGCGTGTTTAAATTTGTGTTTATAACATTTATTTTTAGCGACAGTTACAACAAACGCAGCTAAATGAATGAACCCAGTTGTTGATGAAGACGGACTAAAGAGGCTATTTATTTAACTATTTTCATTACTTTTGATGAATGATTCACTTTTACTCAATTTTTCCGCAAAAAGCCAAACGTTTCCAGGTTGTACTTCCTTCAGTGACGTTCTGCTTTTTGCTATCAAGATAAGATAAGATCAGATAGAACTTTATTTATTTCTGTCGTGCCAGATATCGCGAGATAACAGTAACATGAGAATAAGCTAAGAGGATTAAATATAAAGTGTGTAAGGAGTGTAAACTAACTGCAGCAGTTTAAAACAAAACTATAATAAGAAAGTAAAAAGTAATCGTGGCAGTGATGTAATAGAGTGATGTAGTGAACGATAATGAGATCCTGCACATGAAGCTGTGTCGTAAATATAAAGTGCACGTGCTGCTTTTTATGAAGGAGAAATCGATTCATAAAAAGGGATTACGAGACTGTCTGAACAAAATGACATATTTAAAAATATATCTCCAGGCTTTAGACATTGGTGATGGATATTTTGTAATTGCTCTGTGACATTTTATAAGAAGGTAAAATCTGTGATGGTTATTTGGAGGCGTCTCTTATCAGCTTCCAGGTGATCCTGCTGCAGCACCGTTTATGGATGGTTGTTATATTATGTGCCTCGGCAGATTAACTTTTTTTGTTAAGGTTGGTTTCAGAGATTGTTTGCTAAAATAATAATAATAATAATAATAATAATAGTAAAGCTTGTGTTTTGTGTTGAGCTAGTAAGCCATCTTTAATCACTACATTAGAGGACGCACCCATCTCATTACCGTAAAAGCATTTGGAAAACTGGAAATGTGACATGCAGAGCAGCAAGACAAACGATACTGATAGCTCCCAGGTAGCTTAATGACCCTTGATTTACAATTTGATTCTAGCTCATATTAATTTAGATGTTCAGGTACAATTCAACAGTACCTTTGTGTTTTAATTTACAGTTTTCATTTCACTGCTTTAGGAAAGCAAAGAATAGAGCAATGATTCAGTTTGTGCTGAAGCAAAGAATAATAAAATGAAGTAGGTAGAGATAATTAAATCTAAAATAAATTAGTTTTTTAAAATAAAAACTTTTTTAACAAGTAATGAGGGGTTAAAGGAAAATACAAACCTTTTCTTTTTACATGATCTAATCCAGCCTGTGTGTTCATTGTTTACTCGGCCTGTTTTTCATTCTCATCAAGCTCACTTGTCTTCCAGGTGCACAGGGTGGTCCTGGCCTCCTGCAGCCCCTACTTCAGAGCCATGTTCACCAGCAGCTTCAAAGAGTGCCGCGCCTCCGAGGTCACCCTGCGCGACGTCTGCCCCCAGGTGGTGGGGAAGCTCATCGACTTCGCCTACACGGCCCACATCACGGTGGGAGAGAAGTGTGTGCTGCATGTCCTCCTGGCTGCCATGAGGTAAGCTCGCTCAGACAACAGCGTGCTGAGAGAAAATCCAGAGTCATTGAAAACAGCTGCAAAGTAGCATTCAGAGATTCAAGATTTCCCACTTAGACGTATAACTCATCTGCGTTTCAGTGGAGAGTACACAAGCAGTCATTTTTTCATTTCTCTGATCTCTCCTGCAAGGTACCAGATGGAGGACGTGGCCAAAGCGTGTTGCGATTTCCTCATGAAACATCTGGAGCCGGCCAACGTCATCGGCATCGCTCGCTTCGCCGAGGAGATCGGCTGCACGGAGCTGCACCAGCACAGCCGAGAGTACATCAACACACACTTCAGCGAGGTGAGCTGCATGAGCACACACACACAGTGACGTGCAACTCTGGTCAAGTTAGGTTGCTTTGTTTTGCCAAAGCAGCTGCTCTTGCAATGCAGCGTTTCACGCAGCGTGCATGTGATTGGGACAGGCTGTTGCATCACAACGTTGCGCCTTCTGCTTGGACTGTGTGAAACGAGCAGTCGTGGGTCGAGGCTTAAATCTAAGGATGACTCTGCTTCTGCCATCAGCTTTGGAACACTGAAGAGATAAAGATGCAGAATCTTCCTTTAAATCAGCCCTTTTTTATAGACTTGCTTTCATGTGATGCCATCGATCATATTAGTTTGTTTTATTCTGTTACCTTTTATTTGATCTATTTACTCTTATTGTCATTACTTCTACTAATATTCACACTATCTGACCCTTGTTTTCACAGTTTTACCCTCTACTTTCTTTTATTCTACTTAGTCTTTTTCCTTAACTTGATAAAGCATTTTTGGTATTGATTTAATTTTGAAATACCATTTATTACATTTTGCTTCTGTGGTCTTTTCTCTTTCTGTTTTCTCTCCTTCTTTTGCGAGACACTGTGATGTATCTGATGCACTGAGAGCTGTGAGTCAGACAAACATGATTGTTTCCATGCTGCAAAATAAACCGGATGTATTTGGACATTTGGGTGTTTTTTGGAGTACAATCTATTTGGACGTACTAAATATTTGTGAAGACACATTTTCACTGCATTGCCCGGAGTGAGCTCAAGAACTGTTCCACTGGAAAAATCGCTCATTGTTGTACCAGCGACTCCAAACATATCTGAAAGAAGTGTTTGGTTGCTGGCCTGCAATGCTACACCCATGTTTTTCCAGCCGTCAGTGGCATTAAGGCTGACGTTAGCTGTGACGAAAGCTGCTTTGTTGTGCAAAGAAGCAGAGCTGATTAAAAGTTGTCAATTGTCAGGTCTTACATAAATCGGCTCCTTATCGCTAATGCTGTAAATCATGCAAATTCACACCTGCGGTCGGCATTGTTAGCAAGTTTTTCCTGCACTGATGGGCGAAGCTTCAGAGAAAGCTCATTTGGGTCACAAAAATTACATGCAGCAGCAGATTCCTTTATTCTAAAGGTTACTACAGGTCGTCTGCCAGTCTTCTAATCATCATTTTCGTCATCTGTGGTTTCATATTATTTCCCTTTTTTTTTCTTTTTTATATACCTGCTCACTATTTTTTTCCTGTCTCCTCCGGCTGCTCTTTGCAGCAAAGTAACTGTCGTGCTCACATCCAGCTCTGCCTTTCAGATCCTTAACTGACTTCTCCTGATCTGGTACTTTGCACTCACTTGTTGCCAGTCTGCTCTCCGTCAACGTCAGCCTCAGCGCTCGCAGCTCGGCGCTGAGGTCAGACATTGACGCCCGAATCAAAGCTCCTGTCAGCAGCTTTTAGCACTTTTTCATTCTGACAGTACATCATGTGGACACTGATTGCAGGCAGTAAGTCATGAAAGCAGCTACAGAACGTCTTTATGTGGTTTTAATGCATCGCTAATTCATCTCGCTGGTTAACACTCTGCTTTGCATCTTTCATACTGAATATTTGCTGCATTCACATGTCCTGATGACTGCTGTAAAAGTGCAGCCGCAGTGTTTAACACATACCTCAAACCCAAAGACCACTCATCTGTCTTCAGGATAAACTTGGCACCAGATCAGCACTCATTCTGTCACCTTTTTTTTTTTTTTTTGACATAATGGAAACTATATTCTTAAGTGTGTTCTCTGAATCTGTGTCACTCTGATTAATGGAAGCAATACTTCAACAAGATGTTTGTCTAAATACGACGTGAAATGTCAGCTGCGGCGTCTCTCTCTGTTCCAGGTGACCAAAGAAGACGAGTTCTTCAGCCTCAGTCACTGTCAGCTGCTGGAGCTCATCAGTCAGGACAGCCTCAAGGTGCTCTGCGAGTCGGAGGTGCGTGGCAGTAAAATGACGAATTAAACGCGATTGACAGCCACGTAGCAGCCAGCGATATGTTATTATATATGTTATTTTGGGCAAATACATTTGGGTTAAAGCATAAGAGTGTTGCCCTGTGTTGTCAGATGTTGACCAGCAGTCGAACCAATGCAGTCACAGAAAAATGGAGAAGTAGTTAAAAGTATTGGAGTTTTAAACAGTGAATGTGGTCTGTAAAATCTGAGTTTCATTGTTCTTGTTATTGTAGCAGATTGTTGTGTTTTACACCAGGCCGGTGTCGATGGAGAAACTCAGACGAGCTCAGGGGAGAGGCATTAATAAGATCTTTTTTTTATTTGGGGAAAAATCTCTGAGTCACTTGTCTCTGCAGGGAGAAATAACAGAACTTTTATTGCATGCATAAGTTTTTATAATATTGGCAAACCTCAGTGTATCGTTCCTCCTAAAAGGGCTCCAAGTTTTGACTGAGTCCAAATCACAGCCGATAATGCTGCAGCTCTCCGTTCGTCTGATTTAGTCTCACTTTAAACAAGGAAACTAAACGTTTCTAATGTAACTGCACCAAAGCTCGACACATTTTCCTTTATGTTTGTTGAAAAAACGGAGACTCGGTCCAACAGTTTCCTTCTGTCACGGCTCATCGGCGTCTGATTAATTACAATAAATCCAAAAATAATCACAGGGAATATTATTAGACTTTAATTTCTAAGAAAAGCTGAACATAACCTCAACACATCAGCAAGTTATGAGAATATCATTTGCACTCGACACCAAATTGTCTCTAACAATTAATATCATACATTAGATTAGGGGCTGCAGGGTGGTGCAGTTGGTAGCACTGTTGCCTCGCAGCAAGAAGGTCGCCAGTTCGCGTCCCAGTGGGGGCACCAGTGGAGTTTGCATGTTCTCCCCGTGCAGCGTGGGTTCTCTCCGGGTTCTCTGGCTTCCTCTCACACAGTCCAAAAACATGTTGAGGTTAATTGGTGATTGTAAATTGTCTGTAGGTGTGAATGTGAGTGTGCTTGGTTGTCTGTCTCTAAGTGTAGCCCTGTGATAGACTGGTGACCTGTCCAGGGTGTCCCCTGCCTTCACCCTGAGTCAGCTGGGATAGACTCCAGCCCCCCATGACCCTAATGAAGAGTAAGCGGTGTATAGATAATGGATGGATGCTGATATGTTGAATTTCTTGTCAGGTGTATAAGGCCTGCACAGACTGGGTCCGCTGGGACACGGAGGGCAGAGCTCAGTATCTACATGCCCTCCTCAACGCTGTTCACATCTACGCTCTGCCTCCCAAGTTCCTGAAGACCCAGCTGCTGTCCTGTCCCATCCTCAGCAAGGTAAACCAGCCTCGCAGCATGTTTTTTTCTTCTTATGGAAATGCTTACAAAAGATGTCCTCTTCTGGTATTTGATTCTAGAAGAATGAAGCCGTACATTCACCAGTTATAATTCTCCAGTAAGTAACCACTTGGTTGCCCACTTTTTTACACTTCTCACCTTTCTTTTAACTTCAGGCCAATTCCTGTAAGGACTTCCTCTCTAAAATCTTCCAGGATATGACGCTCAGGAAGCTTCCTCCGGCGCCTAACCGTGGAACCCAACTCATCTACGTGGCCGGCGGGTAGTTATCTCTCAACAACGTGCATTACTAGCTGCTAACGTTTAGGGAGCTGTTACTGATATTGGTGGTGACAAACTAACAACGCTTTGTCCTTGTACTGAGCTCAGACTGAGTTTTATCATGTTGGATGCATCACATGAATCCAGAAAGTGACTCAGTCTGCCACCTAGTGGATATTAACAAGATACACATTCTGTTTTTCTTACACAAGAGTCCTGCTCTCTGTTCTTAAACGCCTTTATTTAGCAACGCAAACTGTATTATTCTCAAAAGCAAAAAAAAAAAAGTATCCCACGCTGCCTTTTTGTTCACACTTCCTCTTTAAATCTGCAAAGTTTCAACCACAAATGATCTTCTTTGGCTGCACACCTGTTGGTGGTGGTTTCCAACTTGCGTGGTTTTTTTTTTTGAACATGTGTGTTGAGCTCGCCTTGACTTACGTAACGGTCATGATGTTCTGTGTCACGGACCAGTTTTATGGGATAATGCTGTTATGGAGCCACAGATACAGTCCAAGGTTATCAGTTTGTTTTTGATTGGCTTTTGATTTTCACATGAACTCCTTTGTGAAATTTCAACGACCGTCTGACATGAATACATTCAACATGTTGTACTTCTGTATGACCAGATCTCGTACACTTTATAAAGAACATGTCTGAACTAAAAGCAAGCAAAGTTTTCTTTTTTACATTTTTATATAACTATCTGAACCCCGAGCAGTTTGTGGGCCTTTTTCTTATTGTCGTTTTTGTCACTTTTGTGTCACAGAAGGCTTGTTTACAGTGTAAAGTCCTGCACCTCTGTGAAAACAGCAAGAAGCAGAGAGAACTCAAAGACGTCTCAGTTATGCTGGAATAAAACATCCAAAGTTTATAAGTTTTAATATTTATTTTTACAAAAATTGCAAAAAATAAATAAATAATAATAATTAAATCAACATTACCAGTTACAAATTCTGGACAAACGTGTCTCTACATACTATAAATATTCCTACTGCTTGAGTTTTTACAACTTATACAATTGAGTAGTTTGTCACACATCAGCTCTAGATATTCCACCACGCTGAATGCATCTTTCAACAAATTGCTGAAACCGTCTGATATTTAAGGATGTTTTATTTCCACTTGATCTCTGGTATCGTCTCCTCTCTGCTTCATGTAAACACAGCCTGCATTTCAGTTGTGACGACGTTTTTATCACGAGTGTTGCTCACGTCAGTCATCAGTTGAGCTGAGGTGCACAGAATTTTTTTTTTTTTTTTTTTAACCAAACCTGGTGCAAACATTTTATTTTTGTTTAAAGAGACGTATAGAATAAAATCACTTTTGATAAAATGTGATGATTTTAAGCTGAGATTTGGTTGAGTTTCTGAACAGAACTGCTTCTCACAGATAAGAAGTTCAAGGACCATTGGAAATGTAAAATGTGATTCTTTCTGGGGGTTTGTTTTTCATTTCTTGCTGTGATAAATTGTGTAATTTTGGTAATTTTTTGACTGGAACAGTTTCATCCTGCCTTCAGTTTATTTGTTCTGGGTCAAAGACGCGCTGCAGCAGCTTTGTATGTCGGGTCATTTTATATAAAATCAACTAAATCTGAAAAATGTTCGTCCCAAATCCTCCTCGTATCGTCTGGTTCTGTGTCTGCGGTGACTTTGTTTCTTTCTGGGTTTTTTTTTTATTTATTTCTGGCTTCGATAAATTGTGCAATTTTGGTAAATTTTTAAAGATAACACACCTTTCATGCTCAGACGGTTAAAATGATGTTCCATACGCTCGGTACAAACTCATCATTCACGCTGGACATTGATCTGATTAACTACAAACTCACTGTTTCTTCTGTTCAGATACCGGCAGCATTCTCTGGCCTCCATGGAGGCCTTTGATCCCAGGAGGAATGTCTGGATAAAGCTGGCAGACATGGGGACTCCGTGCAGCGGTCTGGGAGCCTGTGCACTGTTTGGACTGCTCTACACTGTGAGTCACATCAGGCACTGGTGGAGGGAATGTTAATCTCTGAACAACTTGAAGCCTCAGTTCAGTTGAGTTTTGTCTACATGGGAGTAATTCACAACATAAGTCACATAGTAAGGTTAAGAAAAACCCAACAGTTAACTTGGAGAAACTTCCTGTTAAGAGGTAGACATCAGTGACAGAACCAGACTCAGGCCTCCACCTGTTGAGGTGAAAGAGGGGAAAGAGAAACGCAGCGAAGACGAGGGCATGTTGGTGAGGACAGGAATCAGAAATGTGCAGCTATGAGTAGAGGAGAGAGGGCAAAACAGAAACTATGGGAGGGAAAATTAATGACATGCGACGGTGTCATAAATGCAGGAGGAGGTGCTCAGTCACAGGACGTCCACCCAGCAGCCGAGCAGCAGAAACAGGGGATGGTTCAGGGTCACCTGAGTTGGCAATAACTTTAAGCTTTATCTAATCTTGAAAGTAGAGAGGGTGTCTGAACCCAAACTGGAAGCCGATTCCACAGGACAGGAGCCTGATAGCTGAAAGCTC